CCCCCCCCCCCGCCAAAAAAAGAAATTCAATTAAATCAGGAGTTCAGCATAACTTCACAGTAACAAGCATATAGACAGTCATCCTATGGAAATCACATTGCTAAAGAAACTGAATTCACTTTTTACATGCCTTTTCCACAAGCTGTTTTTAAAGAGCCTCTGAAATTTCTGCTTAAAACTTGTTTATATAATCCATTAGGCACTTTTTGAAGTATTAACATCAAAAAAATAGTTGAGCTTGGATATTTCTGCAAAGCAAATAAAGCTGAAGAATCTGCTCACTTCTTTAATACAGAAGTCTTCTTGGGCACAAAGATTTCCCTTATAATGTAATTAGTTAACTTTTAAGACAATTACCAATGTCATTGTTCATTTTACTCAATATTTACATACTTTCAGATGTTCACTCAGCTATTTACCATTATTCTTTCAGAGGTCAGAGGATCTGATTGCTTATAAAAATGCTATTTTTTATTATTAGCTGTTTTACATGTAAAAATTTTAACATTTGATATCAAAACTAATAGAAAGTCAAAATAAAAAACAAAACAGAATAATAACCATTAATAACTCTGTAAATGTATTAGCTAGTTAGATATTATTCACACATTATAAGATAACCTATACAGTGGTTCACCCCTGTAGTCACAACTACTTGGGAGCGTGAGGCAGGAGTGTCACTTGAGCCCAGGAGTTTATCACCAGCCTACACAACGTATCAAATAACTATCACAATCATGAAAAAAGAAAGAAAACAGACAAAATTAAAAAGCACAGAATGACGCCACGATAAGCTTTCAATGAAGTTTAGCATGTACTTTGTAATAGTATTGACATATTATTTGTGTCTTTGTTTAATACCTCTTAATTACTTTATTTACTGTGCTTCAGTAGCAACTAAATGACAACATACAAATGTCTAAAACATTATTATTACCATTTCCCTATCGAACAGTCACATCTAAAACATTATCAGCAATAATTGATAGCTAATCAATGTATTTGTTCAGTCCCACTTTCTAAATTTCAATAATCCTCACACATAAAGCTGAAAAGGTAAGTCCTAAATAGTCATTCTACCCAACTTAAAAGAATTTTGTTAGTTACTAGTGGGAGGAAATTATCATGCAAAGAATTAACAGCTATTAGATTAATACCTCCAATGGATCCTACTGGCAAGATGTTAATCTGAAACATTCTACAAGGCCCATTGTTATCAATTATCCCAATTTATAATCTTAGCACAAAATTAAATCAAACAATAAATAAAACAAAAATAAAACTTATCCCCAGGGATTAGAGATATATGAAGTTCTAAACAAGGATTTTAAATACTTCAGAACTTACCACATTAAAAGAAGTGGCATTTAAACATCTTGCACAAAGTATACACTGATATTTTTTCTATTTTAAAAAATCGTTTATATGCCATATACATATGTAATTATATAAAGCATAAACAATTATATTACATACTGAGTTAGTTTGCTTTGCTATACTTTTCTACATGCCTTAATGTTTATTTGCTTCTTTACTTGAAACTATTCTGTCCATTTCTTCCTACATCAACATCTTCACTGGGCATTGCACATGAACAACCATTTTTGCTATAATCATGATATGATAGAGGGTTACTCTATTCAGGCACATCTTCCCACTGACTCATCAGAATCTAGGATGTGGTAATAACTCCGTTCTTGCATGGGTTATATTTATAATAGAATTCCTTTGTATTGTTATTTGTAAAATTTTATAACATGTAACAAATTAGATATTTCATAAAGAGATTTTAAAAACCAGTTCTCTTATTTATTGTCTCAATTACTTATATCATTTTCTTTTCCTAGATTTATTTAAATTCTATACTTAACTGGCAGATTCACTAGAAAAGAAATATAGTTAGGAGCTAGTATCTGTGGTAAATGCTCATAATTCCAGAAATCAGAAAGCAGGAACAGAAAGATCTTTTGAGTTCAAGGCCAACTTGAGCTATAGGAACATCCCATTTTAGGCACTGGGTGGAGGTGATATTCAAAAGAAATTTTCTATTTTAATTCACAAACAATCATTTCTACCATCTGTTCTCTGAAAATTGATGGCTGATCTAAAAATTGATATCTTCTTATTGTGTTAGCCATTCTCTCATTTCCTGTGATTTTTCCCCCCTTAGATTATAAATAAATAAATAAATAAAAACAGCTGGAAGATGCTCACTGAGCTCTAATTCTGTGATGTGGATGTCAGAGAAAATGTGTTAGCAATTACAGAGACAAACTAGTCCAAGATGTCTGTGAACGATAGGCTAATGTTAAAATAAAGGATCACAGTCATGGAACATATGTTTTCCCACGATGTCTAAAATAAATTAAAAATTTGAAAGAACCTCTTAAAACATTTTATATGTACATTTTCAGTCATCAAAACAAAAGTAGTGTGATTATTTAGCTCTGATAAAATACTGTCAATAGCACTCATTATACATGTAACACACTTTCCTTGTAATTATGATTTTAAAATGGAAGCTGTGAAAAAATGGAAATTGTGCTTATAAACTATTATGCTTATAAAGTTTGATTTCTCAATGCTAAATATTTCAAGACTCTAAATTTTAAGAGAATTACTTTATTAAATGCTTCATGACACAGATGAACTCTGAAATCTGGTAAAATTCCATATTACTCAAGTCACTACATTTACTGCACCCTTTAAAACAAGCACCACAACCTCCTCCTAAATTCTTATTTTTTACTTTAAGTGGCTAATCTAGATTGCCAATAAAACCACACACACCAAAAAAACCCCAACAGGTAAAAATACCAAGCAAGGCATTGATGGCTCATGCCTGTAATACCAGCTACACAGGAGGCTAAGATCTGAAGAATTTGATTCAAAGCCAGCCTGGGCAGGAAAGTCTGTGAGACTGTCATCTCCAATAAACCACCAGAAACCCAGAAGTGGTGCTGTATATAGCTCAAGTGGTAGAGCTCTAGCCTTGAGATAAAGAGCTCGGGGACAGCTCCCAGGCCGAGAGTTCAAGACCCACAACCGACAAAAAAAATGAAATGGACTTGAGATTTAAATATAAAAATAGATATTAAAAGGGACAACATAATGAGTACTTTTTAAAAATTTAAAACAAATAAGGCCTTTTAAAAGTATAATAAGAAAACTAGTACCAGACCAAGGATATAGTGCAATTAACAGAGTGTATGCCTGTTATAATAAATGCAAATATCAAAAGAAGACACTGCCATTGTACAGTCAATCAAATAAGCTTATTATCCAGAATTCATAGCAGGCAACACAGAGAAGGTATGGTGGGGCTGAATTGCTAGGATGGTAAGGAGCAAGGCCTGGCCTCACTGGAAACTGGACAGCTGGGACTGCCCAATGACACACAGGTTTTTCGTTTGAGGAAACTCTAATGTACTAGTCAGTATATGGTTTTAAATCAGACCCATGAAGAAAATATTTGAAGTGGGATTGCTTATAACAGTTATTACACTGCATGCTTCCTGTTTGGCCTGAGCTCTTGGGTATAGGATGCCATACATCCCATGTGCAAGGGATGCAGTATGTAAATGCTGATCCTCTGAAAGCCCAAATTGATCAAGGAAAAGAATGTTTGGATGTTGATAGTCTGATATTAATACAACAATCACTGATGCAATCAATAATCACTCCAGAGACAACTGCAGTGACAACCAAAGACCACACTTCCAAAGTATGGATAAAAACATATACTTGATTAAACACCTAGGTGCATGTAGCTTTTTTTAATTGTTTTGTTTATTGTGAAAATACTGTACAGAGGGGTTACAGTTACATGAGCAAGGTAATGAGTACATTTCTTATCTAGCATTGTTGCCTCTCCTTTGTTTTTCCCCTACCATCCCTTCCCTCCCACCTCCTCCTACACCTCCCACCTCCTACACCCACCCCCAAGCCCGTTTAAATTCTAAAGTTTGAGTGTTCTGTATGTTGTTCACCTGCTCCTCCAAAGATAGATTTTTTTAAATCAGTGCCAACTGTAAATTATTTTTACCCAGTTTTATATTTCTGAAGGGATATGTGAAATGTGAATATTTAAGGAATAAATCTTAGTTGTGAGGCTTTTTTAAAAGCATGCATTTTAAGGTATCATTTTAACATTAAGTGAATCTTTCTTTAAGCATAAACTGCCTATTATATGAAATAAAAATATATATAATATGCACATATACGGGGCTGGGAAGTTGGCTCAGTGGTAAAGTGCTTGACTCACATGCATGAAGTCCTGGGTTCGATTCCTCAGCACCACATAAGCAGAAAAAAGCTGGAAGTGGCACTGTGGCTCAAGTGGTAGAGTGCTAGTCTTGAGCTGAAGAGCTGAGGGACAGCGCCCAGGCCCAGAGTTCAAGCTTCATGACCAACAAAAAAAAATGCACACATACATATGTATATCTAAATGTCTGTACACACACACACATACACACACACAAATAATGTTAAAATAAACCCACTCCTTAGGGACAAAAATCACCAAAAGATATCAGCTCATAGCTGCCAGAATGGCTATGATCAAAAAGACAAATGAGAACAAGTTTTGGCAGGGAGGTGGAGGAAAGCAAAGATTATACACTGCTAGAGGGATGGAAAGTAAGATAGTCATTATGGAAAACTATGTAAGTTCCTTAAGAAACCAAAGTATAATGATCATTTCCCACTTCTGTGTTACCTAAGAGATTTGAATAAATATGTTGAACAGATGCCTGCACAGCCATCTTCACTGCAAAAGTATTCAAAATAGCCACATTACAGAATTCATCCACATAATTATCATTAGATAAACAGAAAAATAAAACATGGTGTATATACTTAATGATATACTATTTAGCCTTTACAAAGGAAGAAATTCTATCATTTGTAACATCATGGATGGAAATAAGAAATACTATGATGTGAAACAAGCCAAACACAGAAGGGCAAATACGATATGTTTTAACTTTTATGTAGACTCTAAAACAATTGAGTCCATAGAGGCAGAGAGTAGATGTTGTCTACTAGAGTGTTGAAGAGCTTGTCATTCAAAGGTACAAAATCTTAGATATCTGCATATTATGGAAAATAAGGTGAATAACTGAAAACTGTATATTCCACTATTGATGACAGTAAATTTCAAATATTCTTATCACAAAAAAGCATATTATATCACTTATCACCTACAGAGTAGCTTTATTTAGCAAATCAATTTAACTGGTAAAATAATAACAAGCAAGCCAGTGGTTTACACATGTAAAACTAGTTACTTAGAAGGCAGAGACCAGGAAGATCATGGTTCAAGGCCAGCCTGGGCAAGAAAAAAATGGTTTTAGGATTCCCAACTCAATGAACAGCTGCCATCCATCAATCAATACAACCCTACCACTATAGGTGTAAGGGGAAGAATAAATAGGAGGATCACAGTCCAGGCCAGCCTAGGCAAAAATTGACATCCTATTGCAAAAATAATCAGAGCTTTAAAAAGGCTGGAAGTATTACATATGCCTAGCAAGTGCAAAGCCCTGAGTTCAAAGCCCAATACTAATCCCCAAAAAAGAAAGAAGAATGAATAGTAGTGAAACTAAAAAGACAAATTACTGGTACATTGAGTAGGGAGTCTCTAAGGTCAAAGATATTGCTTCTAAAAACTTCCACCCTAGGTATCAGGATTTGAAATTTAGGAGAGATTCCCTCAGAACACTCCTGCTTAATAGTATACAAGATGGGAAATGGACATTAAAATCTTGAAATGATAACCACTCCTTAACCTGCATTATGATTTTGTGTTTTTGCTAAAGACAACCTATTCCTACTATGTGTCATTATTCTACCTAGAGTCCCAAAACTCCTATTTCACAAAATCTTTTTTTTGGGGGGATCCGGTCGTGGGGCCTGAACTCTGGGCCTGGGCGCTGTCCCTCAACTCTTCAGCTCAAGGCTAGCACTCTACCACTTGAGCCACAGCACCACTTCCAGCTTTTTTCTTTTTGCTTATGTGGTGCTGAGGAATCGAACCCAGGGCCTCAGGCATGCAAGGCAAGCGCTCTACCACTGAGCCACCTTCCTAGCCCTATTTCACAAAATCTTAAAAACTGTGTTGACTATTAATTACATCAGAAAATGTCAATCATACCTCTTTTTCATGCATCCGAGATAGAAAATGGTCATCATGGAGACTGGTGGACTTTCTCAGGCTGAACTTGGAGGTCATCTGTAGAATGAAGGAGGAGGTAGTATTTTTTTTCAGGCCTCAATCTTCAACATAAAAATAAACTAGTAAAATGCCTGAAACCCACACCAAAACACTAGAGAAAAAATAATTTAATTGCTTCCAAGTGACGGGATTAAAAAAAATCTTACTATACCTCTTGCTGTGGCAATGTTATTTTCCACAAAAATTTTCTATTTAATGTAAAATTAACTGTCCCTAGGAAAACTCCAATGGAATTTTCACCTACCAGAGAAACTGGGAGAGGCTTCTGTCTCAGATACCGAGGATTTTCTATCTGAAAATTTTAAAATAAGGTCTTATTAATTTCAGTGTTTTAATTATTTAATGAAGTATAACATTACGCTTCTATATGGAAATGTTTTTTGACATGTCTTAATATTTGGTTCAGTTTCTAGAATGAGTATTGTACAACATTTTAGTGATCCTCTAACAAAAAAAAAAAATTGGGGGGGGGGGGGGTCCAGTCGTGGGGCCTGAACTCTGGGCCTGGGCGCTGTCCCTCAGCTCTTCAGCTCAAGGCTAGCGCTCTACCACTAGAGCCACAGCGCCACTTCCAGCTTTTTTTTCTTTTTGCTTATATAGTGCTGAGGAATCAACCCAGGGCCTCACGCATGCAAGGCAAGCGCTCTACCACCTTCCCAGCCCCTAACAAACAAAATTTAAAGCAAATTCCCTGCATGCATAAATATATTTAATGATATTCTCACTACCTAACTATATAGTCTCACTTTCCAATACTTTTCTTGCATATGTTAATATAAGCATTTAACATGACATTTCTTTTTTATTATTATTTTTATTGTGAAAATACTGTACAGAGGAGTTACAATTACATGGGCAAGATAATGAGTACATTTCTTATCAAGCATTGTAGCCTCCTCCTTTGTTTCCTCTTCCCATCCTTCCCCCACTTACCCTCCCCCCCCCCGCACGAAAGTTGTAAAGTTTGTTTTCGACATAACGACTTGTACATCTCATTGTTGCAATGGGTCCATCTGTATCCCTATTTAAACAATTTTAACATGACATTTCTATACATGTATATAAGTACTTCATTTCCCATTATTTCTCATACTCAAGTTTCATGCACTTAAAATTCAGAATGACTTAATTACTGGAATGTAAGTCTATTTGTGCCTCTCTGTCTCTGTTTCTTTTTACAAGCTTTTCAACCTCTATTCATGCTTCAAGTGTCAGTTGAATCACTATACTCCTAGGCATATTTGAATATCATAATGTTCCACATACCTCTATTATAGAAATGAGAATACAAAATATCCTTAAGTCGCCCCCTACATTTATTGTTTCAGTTTCATCAACCTTCCCCCACCCAGCACACTCAATATTCCAATAACACCAAACAAACCTGTTTTACTTTGAAATTACTACACTATCTCCCATATTGACTCTGGACATTGAGAAATCCTTCTCTCAAATTCTTTAACACTTACTGATGAGGAATGATCTTCTTTGGGAAACATAGTTCCTCCTATTCTAGTACATTCCTGGATGTTTATCCCTTCTTTTGGTCTAGTATCCATCTTCCAAAAGAATATGGATTCTAAAAAGAAAGACTATGACTGCCCTATATACCAATATATTCCAAGCAGTCAACACAGTGCCAAACAGTATTCATGAAGAAAAAAGGAGAGAAAGGGAAGGAGAGAGGAAGAGAGAGAGGCGAGGGAAGGCCAGACAGATTGAAAGATTTTTTTAAAAGACAAAGAAGAAATCAAACTATGGCCAGTTCCACCCTCCATCCAATTGCTGAGGAATCTTGCATCCTCTCTCTGTGTCTCTATATTAATCTCTATATAAATGCTTGCCACTCTGTCTAGACACCGGTCTTTGAGAAGAATGAATAAAAGGATGGTATCTTCTCAATTTTGTATCCATAGTACTTAGTACATTTAATGCAGACTAGTTTCAGGGTGTGTGTGTGTGTGTGTGTGTGTGTGTGTGTGTGTGTGTGTGTGTGTGTACCTGTGAGTGTGTGTACCTGTGAGTGTGTGTACCTGTGAGTGTGTGTGTACCTGTGTGTGTATACCTGTGAGTGTGTGTGTACCTGTGTGTGTATACCTGTGAGTGTGTGTGTACCTGTGTGTGTATACCTGTGTGTGTGTACCTGTGAGTGTACCTGTGAGTGTGTGTACCTATGTGTGTGTATACCTGAATGTGTGTGTGTGTGTGTGTGTACCTGTGAGTGTGTGTGTGTGTACCTGTGATGGATCTGGAGTTTGAAATCAGGGCCTGGGAGCTATCCCGGAGCCTTTTTTGATCAAGACTAGTGCTCTATCACAAGCCACTATTCATTTCTGGCTTTTTGGTGGTTAATTACAGATAAGAGTCTTATAGACTTTTCTGCCCAGCTGGCTTTGAACCTCAATCCTTAGATCCTAGCCTCCTGAGTAGCTAGGATTACAGATATGACTATCAGTGACTGGTTGCCCATGTTATTTATGAGATAGTCTTCCTTTTCGACTCGCTGGCCAGGATGGAACCTTCCTGTTGATACTTCCTGCCACAGCCAGGATGACACAAACACTCTGCCACGTTTTTTCTGTTGAGATAGTGTCTTTGTAACTTTTTTGACCTGGATGGTTTGGAATCATAATGCTCCCAATCTCAGCCTCCCAGTTAGCTGGAATAACAGGTATGTACCATTGTGCTCAGGTATCAGTTGATATGGGGATCTCACAAGCTTTTTACCTGGGTTGGCTTCAAACTATAATTCTCTTGATTTCTGCCTACCAAGTGGCTAGAATGATAAGCCTGAGACACTAATGCTCACCTCAGAGGCACAAATTTTTCTAGGTGGCAAAGTGCAGTCAATAGTATTTGTTGTCTGAAGGTATAGGTATGAAAGTAAGTAATCACAGTTTTTGGAATGCAGAAAACCAGTATAGAAGTTCTTCAAAAATACACAAATCTGAAAAATCCATAAAACTCTAATACTTGAAACAGAATTAAATATGGGAGAGGAAAATAAAATGAAGAGGAAACAAGAATGTTTCAAAGATGCTCAAGCCCCAATTAAGTTTAGGATTTGCCAAAAGTCAAGAAAACCATCTGTGATTTATTTTTACTTAGTTCTACATTTATAAAAGGGAATAAAATACTGGTTTGATTAATTACAATGTAGCATTTCAACTATGCAGAAGTAACTCCTATTCTATTCCCTTCATCTTTAAAGCCATTAAATAAAGAACTTAAGGTCTCATTATATTATTATGAATTTCCTTTTTTCCAAGCTAACTAAAATAAAAGGAAAGATTGTCTATTCTAATTTTTCACAGCAACAACAAACACAATAAACTAGTATCAATATTTTGTTGTTGTTCACTTACAATACATTGAGTTTTCTTATAACCACTTTTAATATGCAATGGGAATTATTCATAGTGAAGCATGTTCTTTAGTCTATTTGAGAAAAATAAGCAATCTATTTTCTGATTTTGTAACAACAGCCAGATGTGCTTTGAAGTTGAATGTTTCCACTTTGTAATCCACAAGTAAAAGACTTGAAGCAATCTGTAAACAGTCTTAACATGGGCTTTTTTCATGCTGTTTTAGAAAACTTCTTCTCTTCTAATACCTCAAGAAGAATACCACAATAAAGAATGTCCAAAATGCAATACAAAAAGGACTTATGTGAAGTATTCACATCCATGAAAATGTTACATAGAAGGAAAAGCCCCAAATAATTAAATTGCAATCATATAATTATTATATATCTGCATATTTAAAAAGCAAACAAATTGCAACAATAAAATAAATAATAATATAAACTAGACAGGAATATAGAAATGTGAACACTAATGGAAACTCTTGGCATTTTATTTCATTTTTAAGCAAGCCTGTTTGACTACAAATGTTTTCTGTCCATTTGCGTTTTCAAATCAGGATTTGGTCAAACAGTTATGAGCAATACTCCCTGACAGATTAAGTTGATCAACTAAAGAAACTCTATGTTTCCAGAAAATGTAAGAGGCACTCTATCTGATATGTAAACTTTCCTAAAGAAAGGACATTATCAAGCAACATGTCATCAGTAACACAACTAAAATAAATGTTTTAAATCACAGCATCAGTCACAAGAACAACCAACACTCACTTCATAGGGAAACAAAATGAACTTACTCTTCCATTTCAAGCCTATTGTGCTTCAAAGCTATGTTTTAAGACAATATTTTAGAACTTAAAGAACGCTTATTCACAAAAATATTCCTATAACTGTTAACTTATTCACTAGTTTATTGAAAATATTCCAATAAATATTGAATGAGAATAATTATAGACTCAAAAACATAGTCCTTTTGCATACAGAACTGCAAATAAGCCAAAGGAACACAATAGAAACAGGTATATTGTCACTTGATTTATGAGACAAATTGCACTTTAGTGTAACAGCAAAAGAACAGCTTTTTTTGTTGTTGGTGGTCGTGGGGCTTGAACTCTGAGCTTGGGCGCTGACCCTCAGCTCTTCAGCAAAAAGTGAGCACTCTACCATTTGAGCCACAACACCACTTCCGGTTTTCTGGTGGTTTATTGAATATAAGAGTCTCATGGACTTTCCTGCCCAGCCTGACTTTGAACCGTGATCCTCAGATCTCTGCCTCCTGAGTAGCTAGGATTACCAGCACCTGGCAAAAAAACAGCTTTTTGCATAAATTGTGGTGTCACCTAGCTAGACATAGATATGAAAACAATCTTAACTCTGCCTTAGAACAAGTACTAAATTTACTTTCAGATGGTTTGTAGATCCAAATAGGAAACATCAAAACAATAAAATTTTTATAACAAAATGCTGAAACAAGGTTACAGGTTGACCCACTGTAACAATGAGATGTACAAGACACTATGTAGAAAACAAACTTTACAACTTGGTGGGGAGGGGGGATTGGGAAGGTGGGGAAGGAAGGGATGGTAGGGGGAAAACAAAACAAACAAATGAATGAATAAATAAATACCTTTCAAAAAAACAATAAAACTTCTCAAAGAAACAGAGCATACTCTTGAGACCATAAGAAAGATTTCTTTTAAAAGAGTTAAAATATCGCTAGCTAAAAAGGCTAAATTAATTGTTTAAATTTTCTATTCATCAAAGATACCAGTAAAAAGATGAAGAACAACAACAGAAAATATATATCACACCATATTCAAAGGAGCCTTATCCAGAATACATAAAACACTCTCACACATCAGTAAGAAAAAGTACATAAAACAATACTACCAACCACTCTTAAGAATGATTTATTTTAGCTTGACTGGTGT